GAATATCTAAACAGAATTTTTATACATCATGAAAATCTCTTTATATTCACTTGGTCTAACTTTATAAAATAAATAACAGTATGTGAATGGATTTCATTATGTATATTGAACTGATGAGTTCAACGAAGAGAGTAAATTGAATTTCCCAAGTTTTTTTATTTATTTATAGTGATAATGTAAAGAAGTACTTTACTCTCCTTTATCTACTTTATTAACAAGTGATGTAAATGACAACAACAAATTTAAAGAACATTTATTCTGTTTGAATGCAATCATTTATGCCAAACAATTAATTTGTCAGTAAATATTTATTTTAAATAGATTTATTTTTCATTTATCTGTAAGGGTTTGAATATTCTCAGTATTGGTGTTAAGATCTACAAGTGATCAGTCTCTTTTGGTATATGTACACCCTAAGCGAGTCCCCTTGATATTTTCATTATTCACAAACACTATTAAATAGAGTTAGGTAGTCACTAGCAGTGGAGTCCAGGACTCAGACAACAAAAAAATTTAAACTGAGTTGTAATTTATCTTTGTTGCACAAACCAGTGGTCAATCGAACTCAGTAGCTAAGTGGATAACACACTGGTGTCCAAAACGAGAACCATTGGGTTTCTATCCCAGAGTGAATGTCAACACTGATGCGTAGGTACATTGAGCTAACGCGTCTTAAACAAGAAGAAACGAGCGTCATGGATTTCAATGCTAACCACTATCCAGTTCACCTGAAAAAGTTGCTAATCAATCCAAAAGTGTTATAACATAAGACAGTCAAATATTATGATAGAAATTTCCTGAAAAATGTTAGTAATAACAAATCAACTGTTCATTAAAAAAATGATATTTCCTTGGCAATTACAAACATTATAGGTAAAATGTATACTAGAAAATAAAGGGCTATAAATGAATAAAGAGCACGTTAGTAAACTTTTTGGTGAATAATGACAAGATTTGGAGGTATAAGCAATATTGTACAGAGAAGTTTAGGTTAATATGCTGTACGAAACAGGAAGTTGTTACAAAGAAATCGAAGTAACACAATCCTGTCCTAGATAAAGCTGAGGTAGAGGCAAAAATATAATCGGTAAAATAAAATATTGAACTTTTTCATCAATAAAAGCTATACATCAAATTGCAGCTAATACGTATGTACGTCTATCACATTCAGTGTTCGCTCAACCTCCGTCATTGATTCGGGTGAAGCAGATCATTCGGAGCGCACAATGTGGGCACTAGATGACCTTTCCAAACCCAACTTCACTGGATGGATCATCTGAATGAAAAATGACTGTTAGAGAAGAGAATTCCATTCTGAATGTTAATGAATTAGATAGAGACAGACTTTGTTTTTTCTACAACTTGGAATCGAGAACTGTTGGAACTGCGTGATTATCGATACGCTGATGGAACAATTAAGACCTAATTGCTTTAATTTATTCAGAGTTCCATAATTCATGTTATAGAATTCAACACAATTATTCTCTTGGTTTACATTCAAGTAAATGACAAAAGTACGAATTCATGTATGCCCACCTTCAATAAACTAAACGAACGGCGCCTGACTATAAATTCATCAGCTGTCATGACTAACTACGAACATTCAGCTTTACCATGATTTCAAAATTATATCCAAATGTAGTACCACTAAGTTTGTTGTTTCACCTGATCAAATGTATACATAGGCGGTTACAATAACCAGTTAACTTTCGACAACAAATAAAAATTTTTATTTGCAAACCCGTCAGTTGACAGAATTATTTTTTTTATTGGTTGTAGGTGTGATAATTTCATTTGATAATCTACTGAAGTTACCATTTTGCTCAGAGAATGCAGAATTTAAATCATTCACATGTTGTTTTGAGAATACCTGAATTGAGTAACCTAAAAAAACTTGAAGACTGCATAGAATTAATATTCCAAACTATACTGTAGAGCGTTCATAGTTCCGTGGTGGAAAATCTTAAAATGAACAAGGCATGACATGGAAGCTTAAGACAATTCATTGATGCTGCATATTCGAGCATACAAACATTCAGTGATGCTCTATAAAATGAACAGAATCTTAAAAAGTTAAAAATCGAACACTTCGTTGTTAAGATCCATTAACGGTACGGAAAAAAGAAATACAAGGAGGTATTAATGTGTATTACACCGATCATATAAGATTATAGAAACAGATCTATTCTACTATTGATACAAAATAATACATGATTTAATCACGAATATTTAGACACCGTAAACAGTGTTATAAAACTCAACAAATGTAAATGGCATATAAATTACATAATTCATTCGTTCATTTAATGATGACTTAATTTATAATTATTTACTCAGTCAATATATTAGTAATATTATTTTGTTACTTTGTTTAATTTCTCCCTTGATGTTTATCTTTATTGATTTGAACTCTTATTCACGCTCTCTTTTAACGTTATTTCTTTTTATAATACACCATGGTTGGAGTAAATCGTTACTAAGATATCTGAATGTTTTGGATACTTTTATCATGGATTAATGATAATAATTATGTTTCAAAAAGTAACTTATTACCTGTTCAATGATGGTAAACTTATTTAAAAGATTTCTTAGTCGAAAAATTTTTTGTTAAAGAAAATATTTGTTTTACAGAAGTTTAAATTATCAGATTAATTGATGATATGATTAAACCAAATCAGCTGAGTGAGTGACAATATTCTTATTCAATAATATATAATTCAAGAAGTTAAAATAACTCCTTGTCTGTATTATAATTTACGCTAAAGTTGCTTTAATAAAAAATTCAAATGGTTCTCTAAACGTTTTGTTGAATAGTGAGTAGTATACATATTTTTATTGCTAGTTTTAAATCACTTCTTAACCATTAAGATTTTGTTTCAATGCATATTTCATACTACTAAAAAAAGGAAATGAATCTATTCCTGGGATATTCTAGTTAACATCTTCTCATGTTTAATTTTTCACAGATTATTTAAAATATTAAAAACTTCCCATATTGCTAATTAGAACAACGTGTATAAACGAACAATATTATTCTAAATTGGATCATAATGAAGCTTTAATATATAATGATATTTATATTCATATCCGAAGTTATTAAACCAATTAAGGCAGTTTATAGGTCAGTGATAATAGTGGAATCGATTACATAAATAAATATAATAAGTAAAAAGTATGAATTGATAGTATGTTGACAAGTGTACTAGTTGTGATAAGAATAACAAAGGCTTGAATTAATGTTTCATAATGGAAAATAGGTCAATGACTTGAAAAATATAAATGCTGAAATAACATTGATAAAAAACTATAAGATTGAGCAATAAGAAGTGTTCACATAATTGAACAATGAAGTGCATATATGAAAAAGGGAGAAAAAGAAACGAACAAAGAGTATGAAAAATAACAATAAATCAAATCTATGAAGGCTAATTCGACCAAGGAGGAGATAAAGGTGTTCTTAGGAATACTTCGATTGTTTGCTCGAATTCCTACAGCTTCTGCTACATGTAAGAGACAAGATCGAACACCATAAGGAGAATTAGTAGGAATATGATAAATCACTTTAAATGACCTATTTCTATCTATTACATGACCGCTATCGATCAACTGTGATAGAACAAAATTGGGTTGTTATGACGATACCACTGAACTGTTCACTAACTCGTTGGCTCAGTTGTCTAGTTGTGCGCCCAATATAGCTTTCTCCATAGGAGCAGCAGAATTCGTAGATACACATATATATTCTTACTTACTTACTTACGCCTGTTACCCCTCGTCGAGGAGCATAGGCCGCTCACCAGCATTCTCCATCCAACTCTGTCCTGAGCCTTCCTTTCCAGTTCTTTCCAGTTACTATTCAGCCTTTTCATATCGGCTTCTATTTCCATATATATTCTATTGTTAACTAAATTATTCATATGAAGTAAGTCTATTAAATTTAAAAAGTAATTGTTATGTATGTGCCGTATCAATGATATACATATATATCTGTAAGCTTATTGGAATAAAATTTCATAACTAACATAATCATTACATTTTAATTTAATTCAGACGATACAGCTTAGAGTAAAGACGAAAGTCAGAAATTACTTAGGAAAATTTCTTAGTAATAGATACATAATTTTCAAATAATATTGATTTCGTAAATCCTTTTTATTACATAAAATCATCCGATACACAACTACTGAAAATAAAAAAACACATAATAAACAAACGTTTATAAGCAAAGATGGATAGTGGCTAGCAGTGGAATCCAGGACGCGCGTTTTGTCCTATTTGGGGCTCGTCAGCTGGACGTACTTGCATCTCAGAGTTGATGTTCACTCCGGGGCGTTTTATTTTAGTTTAAGGCATCGTGAAAATGATCCAGTACAACTTACACAAAAAAATTAACCATAGAATATTTAGGTCTCTTGTGATAACAAGCGTATTATCTTTACATACATGAGTTGAAATTCCATCATCCATTTTTTCCAGCAGGTTATTATAAGTTCATTATCATTAAATCTTCATTCATGTGACCACTTTATTAAATAATAGCTTTTTGAAAAGAATTAAAGATAACTGAAAGAAGGAAATCTTTTTAACCATATTATTTACCTCAACTGAACAGTTATATTTATATCAAAAGGAGTTTTTTGTGGATATTATAGTAATTTTAATAGTTGCAATCATGAGTCAACTGAAGCTAGACCACCATAGAAAACCTGGAAGCACTGGATGGCCCTTTTGTCCTATTGTGGGACTCCTCAGCAATGCACATCCACGATCCCGTCAAGTTTTCCATGGTGGTCTAGTAGCCTCAATTGACTCATGATCTCAACTATTAAACTTATATTTATAGTTAATTTTTATAATTAGTAGTTATTGATAAAGTAGTGGGATGTTGTGTGATTTAAAAAAAAGATACCGGCAATAATCAAAGTATTCAATATCAAATATATATTATAGTAAAGCCTGATGAGGATCTAATCGAAAAATAATAAATAAATTTAACTTACAAGAGTAATAATAAGCAAATTAGCAAATATCTTGTTCATTCTATTCATTCTTTTTGATTTTCTCTTTGTTAACACAACACTAAATGTATTACTTAAAACACAAATAAGTAATCAACTATAAAATAAATAAAGGAATTCAAAAATTCCTTTCCGTTTTTTAAAAATTAAGTCCAATTAATTTCTTTTTTTTCTTCTCTAAAACACAATAAAATTTCATTCACAAATTGTTTTACTTATATAATTATTTCAATGATCAATAAATCATTTATTGTTTTAATATCCAATTTGATTGAATAATTGAATGAAATATTTTGTAGTTAAATGATTGGTTCTTCTCAAATGAACTAGTTACTAAGTAATAACGAATATGAATAAAGAAGTAAATTAGACAAATAAAGTAGTCACGTAAAAAAAAACTACACAAAAAACACATCAGGACTCAGTGGCCGAGTGGATAAGGTGATGGCGTTTGAAGCGAAAGTTACTGGGTTTGAGTCTCAGAGTGACACATCAACTCAGATGCAGGTACATCCAGCTGATGAGTATCAAATAGGACGAAACGCACGTCACACTGGATTCCGCTGCTAGCCACTATTTATCTCTGCTTACAATACTTGTGAATTAAGGCTATATGCAGGCAATACACACAGTATGCACATATACCAATTAGAGACTGACCAGTTGCAGTCCTAACACATCGATGGGAAGATTCAGACAAACAATGATAAATGAATTTAACATTTTAATTTCTTTTAAAAAAAGATAATCATAACAACAACAGTAATGAGGAGAAATTGTTTGGTTAACAATATTGTTAAATTAAGCTAACTATCAGATAAACTATTTAACAATAGTTTGGAATTTGTTCAAAGTAAACGGTTTGATTTTTATTTTCTATAAATTTTTCCAATTTGTATTCATGTTATATGATATTTATTTTTGTAGATAGTTTTTCAGAAAGGGGTTTCGTGGAGATTTCAGTAATTTTACATAGTTGAGATCATGAGGCGAGGCGGGATCGTGGATGCACACTGCTGAGGAGTCCAAAACGGGGCGAAACAGCCATCTAGTGCTTCCAGATTTTTCATGTTGGTCTTGCTTCAATTGACTCATGATCTCAAGTAGATAGTTTATGTCAGTTGTAGGTTCGTGATTAAACCTCTCACGAGGTCATGATTGGGCAGTGTTTAATAAGTGATATAGCACAAAGAAATATCTGTTTAGCTCTCTCTTATTTTTAATGGTATTCAAGTTGGTATAGATGTGCGACGAAAACTAGATTTGATCTAAGTTGACCTTCACAGATTTTCCAGTCAGTACTTATTACTATTACTTTGTTATTCAAGTGAACAGTCTAATAAGATGCCTTTTATGCGTATTTTGTAGTATTGTGTATAGTGGCAGCATTAATGATATTTGTTCCATTCTGCTTGTAGATAAATCATACTACAGGTATTTTCCGGAGTCTACATCGGGATTTAGACCCATCACCAGCAGTTCCAAAATTCACAGAGAGTGTGATAAAGCTGTTGAGTCGTGTTGAGTCGTCACAGTCGTCTATCATCTTTTAAAGCAATAAGTCTCTAATAAATTTAAATAATGCAATGAGAATATGAAGTTTATAAGAACTATGTGATATCAGATTAGCGTAACTCATTTTGAACAATCTGATCACATATATACTTGTTAATACATTTACCTATAAAAAATAGGAGGTCAACTAGACAAATTGGTAGGTAAGAGGAAATTAAGCTAATCAGGAAAACAGTATAAAAAACAACATGACTTCATTTGAATTAAGTGCCCGGTTATCTTTGTTGCTTCTCAAACTTCAGCTTGTCTAGCTGACCTTTTATTTTACATATAAGAATGTTTTTAAAGTATACGAATTAAAAACACGAAGATAAACGAAGAACTCGCATTTCTTTAAAAAACTGTGGTTGAAAACGGCTATTCAAATCGCTAAATAGAAAAGAATATGAAAAAAACAAGTCGGGATAAGGAATACGGTAATTCATTTTCAAAGAAATACCTTTATATAAATCTGAAATTTAAACGTGACCGAAATTCTGATGCATTTAAAATTTGGTTAACGGTAACAATGAAAATGACGTTCTATGCAGCAAAGCTCGAATGACGTTCACTAGTAGAAACCTGTTTTTGGTATCTGTACAGGAAAAGTTTCTCCGTCTTGTCGATCTAGGTTTTCAATGCTGATTTGGCTTAAATAGACTCATGAATTTAACTATTAAAATTACTACAATCTCTACAAACCCAATTCTGATAATAATCATCATGTGGTCACTAGTGACTGGCTTCAAGATGGATTTTCTGGAGTTCTTTTCAGAAGCCATGATCAGTGGAGTACAATCCGTGTCAGCTAAAGACGGGTATATACTTCAGACAGTGGAGGAGTGGTCGCTCAAGACCATGGATCGACTAAAGTTAGACATTAACACTGATGCCGGATCAGTGGTTTGGAGGTTAAACACTTGCGCGAGGCCGAAGATTCCTGGGTTCGAGCCCCGTGTTCAGGATCGTGCACTGCTGAGGGATCCCATACTAGGACGAAACGACCGTCCTGTGCTTCCAGGTTTCTAATGCCGGTCTAGCTTAGGTCGACTCATGAATTCAACTATTAAAAATACACAAATGTAATATTAAAATATTGCAGATTAATTTCTGCCAGAATAACGATGCATGTCAAATAAACAGGTTGGATAGAGATAGAGTCCAATTACTTGTTAATGAATATTTTCCAAGTAGTTGCTAGTTGAATACCCTCTTTTCTGTCCAAACTGTTCTTATTAGCTCGTATATACGGTGCCTGTGCTGCCGATCTTTCTTTCTGTATGTCAAAACCTTTCTGACGTATTTTGCTTCTTATGAAATCGATCTTATGTCCTGTTTCTTATGCATGTAACGCTATCGCCAACTTATTCTGAAGTTTCTTTGGATCAACCGAAGATTTGGGAACATTTTGCAAACATTGTTTGTGTTCCTTCAACGTCACACTCAACTGTCTTGAAGTTTTGCCTACATACACTGCATTATAACCATGGCACGTAGTCTCATAGACAACATTCTGCTGTTCTTCTTTTTAGAACTTATCCTTAACTTTCACTAATTCTGATATTAAGGTGTCACTATCCTGAAAATACACTCGTATATTTTGTTTGTTTAGAATTCTTTTAATTTCTTCATATGTTTTACTACCATATGAGATGACGACAATGGACTTCCAATCTTTCGGTATACACTCTAATTTAGTTTTTCATTCATTTCTAATAAGCTTCTTTGAAAACACCTTAAGATAATTTTTAGGCCTAAGCATAGAGAAAATTCCATTCAATTCAACCTGTTGGTCTTCCTTATATGTAATGAGATTAATACTTCTGATAAATTTTTTTACAACTACGACTTTCGAGTCGAACAATGATCTAAATGTCTCTCAGATTGTGTTGATCTTCTGAATAAATTTATTTTCAACTTATTATTATGTCTTCGTTCAACCAAGCAATCGAGAAACGCTAGTTTGTGGTCGTTAGACTCTTTTTCCTTTGTTAGCTTCATGCTGTTTACATTTTCAAACAATTCTTCTAAACTATTTCGTTTAATGACAATAAAAGTATCATCTACATACTGTAACCAAACTCTCAGTGGATTTGCACATCTTATGATCGCACGGGTTTCTAGGGAATGCATAAATAAATTCTCTACAATCGGAGAAACTGGTGAACCCATTGTTGACCTCCTTTCTATCTGTGAAGGTCCCCTCAAAATGTGAATAATGTGGATCGTAAACATAATTCTAACATAAATCTAACGGGCATCGTAAATTCAAATTTGAGTCAAATTCTAAACAATCATTCTATATTGATAGGTATATTAGTAAATGAGGAAGAAACATCAGAACTTGCTATCATTTCATCCTCTCCGATATATATATATATATGATTGGACTGCTCAAAATTCGTTGCACTAATCTGATATTATATAGTTCTGATAAACTTCCTATTCCAACTGTGTCATCCAGCCTTATCATCTTTTGTGTCGTGGACGCCAATTGTAGTTGGGACTGAATAGGATTTAACGCGAGTTCGCTCACTTACTACTAGTTACTGCCGACGTTTTTCTCGAAAGCAACGTGATTTTTGTCTGATAAGCCATTGATTCTCATGATTATTAATTATCATTGATTTGAAAAATTTGCCAAATTTTGTGTGAAAATTTTAAGAAATTAATTATTTGTAAACCTTCCTTCAACTAATTGAGATTCTTTATAGAAAGGTTATAAATTAGGCTGCTCTGGGACACAGGGTTTATCTATAGTGTCATATTGACTTTCTAAAATGAGCTGTAGACTTTAATTTACGGTATAAACATGTCAACATTGAGTTTCGTATAAGAATAATGAGAAATATCATCTTGTTATGTAATACTCTATCATCTACAGTATATGCAATGACAGTTCATAGTAATAACTTGGCTCTACAAATGAAATAAATTTTGTTTAGAGTTCGTCCAGTTGGAAACAATTCGACTAATTCTTCTGATAGTACTGTTAACTCGTGTAGCATGAAATATCGATGAAGTCATTCGCTGAGATTTTGCATAATATGTTAGTCCTATTTAATGTCTTACATCAACTCGGCGCCCAAATACTGTGAAACTATTCGCTCTAATTTAGACGAAAGTTCTTATATATCATACTGCTATTTGTTTAAAACACTAATAAGAACTCGTTTTTGAAGATGACAACATTAAAATTAGAGTACCTTAAACCAGTTATTGAGGAGAAAAGTTTCAAAAGGTTAGGAAATGTTGAAAAATCACATTTTCGCCTAGATGAAGTGTTTTTTTTATATGCGAGGCCTGTCCACTTCCAGCACTTCTTCTTGATTTCTCCCTCCACTGGATGGAATTCGGTCTGTTTTCTCCCAAAGTAGGTTGTTGTTGATAGTGTCTGGCCATCGGATCCGAAGTATCGTGCGCAACAACTGTTAATAAATACCTGTATCTTCTGGATGATGGCTTTCGTAGTTGTC